ACCTCGACTCTGTTTGTACCCATTGCCTAAGAGTTCCTCAAGTTGAGTAAAAACAACCTATAAACCCACCTGCAAAATTATTCCGACATTTTATTATATGCCCCTGCAGAAGCAACCTTGAATGTAAACTGATAAGGAAAAGATATAACAGAGGCTAAGTGTAAAGTATAATTCATTGAAATTCTGGTTAAATCTAGAGAGAAGCCAGAAGAGAGGAGGAGATAGTGGTTTGAAAAGCTCACCATGCATCCAATGCAATGAAATTAATTTTCCACAGCCAGACATACAACTGCAGGCACATAGCTTCAACTGCCTCCCGCCATCAGCATATGTCTCATGGAACTAATCAAAAACAACTTTGGTCAATGCCGGAGGCGACAAGTTTTAGTTTTTTTGGAGATGTGTTTTAGAAACGAAACTGGAACCTTGAGATGAATGACTGACTTGAGTTGTATAAACTTCACACCACCACTGCACACTACTTCGAAACATTTAGCATTTGGGGATACTTTGTAAGCTTACTGAATTTGATTCCATCCAGGTTGACAAGTCGGGTCTCTGTTAATGAGCATCCTCAATCTTGAACTACAGATTTAAACATAAATATGTTAGAAACTTACACATAATTTGGTACCATCGAACCTTGAATTTTCATCAAGTTATTGAACAAGAATACTTAGACCTAAGGCCTAATTTAAAGTACGCATGTGCATGCATGTGTATGAATATAAAGAATACTTCAAAACTCAGAATTTATTTGTTTTAACCCAAATAATGTTATAACTCGTAGCTTTATTTCAACTGGTTGACTGATTAACTAAAATGAGCAAGGAAGAGAACAAACCTAATGAGAAATGAAAACAAACAGCCAAAACATTCTTAATAAATATTTACATGATTCTCGATTCTAAAAGGTACTCAGTCTGATGCTTCTGATGGAAACAAATCTTAGCAGGTTATCATATGGTTTAAATAATCAGATATCTTAATACTGCACTGTGCAAAATATTCACACACACAAAAACACTATTTTGTGGCTGGGAATCGAATTCCTATTATGAACATTAACTATAGCTTAGGAAATAAGAAAGAAATACTGCATCATAACAGGTAATTAAGTTAAATGAATAGTAAGAGATACATCAGGAGTAGTTGATTTAAGACCCGAAGAAAAAATCGTACCTGTGATCTTTGGAATATGTGAAATCTTGGGCCATTCTGCACCGCTCTCCTTGTTGCATCTTTCTTTTAAAAGGGGACAACCACTAATGTATATCTCTTTTAACTTGGTAAGACATTGTACAGCTTCAACTGTAGGTAGATACATCAGATTCGCGCACCAAATTATACGTAGATACTCAAGAGATGCAAGGTTTCTCAGCCACTCTGGAAGAGCCTCCATTCCGTCAAAGGATAGTATTCCCAAACATGTTAGAGAAGTAAAGTGTTGAGTTAGTTCAGGCAGAGACTCGAGCTTAGGCCAACCCCACAAGCTCAATCTTTCAAGTTGTGATGCCTGAAAAGTAGGAAATGAATGGAGCACCATCGAAAACCGACCAATTTCCAAATCCCTCAAGCTGGTGAGGCAGTGTGGGGATGCTAATCCACGGGGTAGACTTTTCAATCCAGCACAAAATGATATCTTCAACTCACGGAGGTGTGCGAGGTTGTCTAAGCTCGGAATAGTTTGTAGACTAGGACACCTGCTTATTGTCAATTCCTCAAGAGAGACAACAATTTTTAGCCCATCTGGTAAATGCGTCAAACATTCACAACCATAGATTCCCAGTGAATGAAGCGAGGTACAGGACTCTAGGCCAATCAGTGGACTTGTCCCATGAAAGCTCTCAATTTCCAGTTGACGAAGGGATGCAAAGCCATGCAAAGTTGGAACTGACTTTAGACTCCTGCAATACTTTACAGACAAATTCAGGAGAGACGTAAGAGCATGTGTGACTGGAATGAACTCCAGTCTAGGGCAGTTGTCTACAATCAACTCCTTAAGAGAGAGAGTGTGCAGCCCATCAGGCAAACTCCTAATATTTTGACACTTAGAAACACACAGAGACTCAAGAGATGCGCAACAACCAAATACATGGGGAGCAATACAACTTAACTTCCCACAATCTCTTATCTCCAAATTTGCAAGGTTCTGGTTGTTTTTTAACATCATTTCTGGCAGAGAAGCAAGCCCCCTCACATTCTCTATTGTGAGAGAAGTAAGAGTTGTGAGCTTCTTGTTTATATTTTCCATTGGTTTGCTGCTATCCATAGAATCTATCTCTAGCTTTTGGAGAGATGGAAAATGACTGGGAACACTTCTCAACTGATCACATTTCGTCAGGAACAGCTCCTCAAGACAAGGAAATACCACGACTTCTGTTAGCGATGTTGCAGCTTCCATCCACTCAATTAGGTTCTTGGCATTATCAATAGTTAATGTTTTCATTGCAGGAAACAAACTAGTCATCATCCATGATGGAAACTTATCGCCCATAAAGTTGCGAATCTCTAAAAACTCCAATTTCGGGTGTGGTTGAAGGCCTTTTAGCACATCCTCATTGTGGTAATCAAATTAAGTCAAAACCCTAGGTCAAATAATTCATTCCATTTGGGGATTATTTGACCTAATTGGGAATTAATCAACCTAATTGGGAGTTACTCAATTTAATTGGGGGTTACCCAATTAAATTGAAGACTACCTAATTGGGTTGAGAATTGATTCCTAATTCCTACCCCGATTCTCAATTAAATGAGGAGTTACCTAATTGAAATAGGATTTGATTTGATACCTACCACAATTAGGGATTTGATTTACCCTAATAAATCAAATCCCTAATTAATCAAATCAATTCCATAAAGGGGAGGAATAATTCCCTTCCATCTACGGAATTATTCCTCTGAAACCCTAGCCTCCAAGACCATTATAAAAGCATAGC